TCCTTACTCCCAGGGTGGGGATGACAAAATGAGGGAGCAGGTGGACACGTTGTTCAAAGTGTTGCATATTGTAAATTTTAATACTAGTGTTCAGGCTTTGATGTTGCTTTTCCAAGTAATGAATTCTCAGCAGATGCTATCGGATCGATATTATTCAGCATTATATAGAAAGATGTTGGATCCAGGGTTGTGTTCCAAGCAAGCTATGTTTCTTAACCTTGTCTACAAATCTCTGAAAGCAGACATCATCTTGCACCAGGCGAAAGCTTTTGTGAAGAGGTTGCTTCAAGTTACTTGTACACAGATGCCACCGTTCATACGTGGAGCTCTGTATCTTGTGTCTGAGATCCTTAAAGCAAAACCAGATTTAAGAAGTCAACTAGACGATCATGTGGAGACTGACGATGAAGAAAAATTTGTTGACACAGGACATGATGAGGACACAGAACAATTCACTGATGCAGACGAAGAAACAGAAATAGATACAGTGCAAAAAGTTGACCCAGAGGAAACTGGGTCTGACACAAAAACCAAAAACCCAAAGACTGCTTCCTGGGTACATATGGATAATTTGAGAGGTGTCAAACAGCTGAATACTTATGATCCACTCAGTAGAAACCCTTTGTTCTGTGGAGCTGAAAATATAAGTCTTTGGGAACTCAAAAAGCTATCTGAGCATTTTCATCCCTCTGTAGCCCTTTTTGCAAAGACTATCCTTCAGGGAAATTATATTCAGCATTCAGGGGACCCACTGCATGATTTCACACCGAAATCCAAAGCCACATAAAGGCAAAGAAAATACTGACAGTGTTGTGATGCAGCTGAAAGGGAAACTTTTTATAAAGGATATCCGCAGTCTTGCTGTGAATAGTAAGGAGTTCCTTGCAAAAGAAGAAAGCCAGATACCAGTGGATGAAGTGTTTTTCCATACGTATTATAAAAAGTTGCTGTTATAAAAGAGAAACAAAAATGGAATGCAGATGAAGAAAGTATAGGAGATGTGGATGATGAGGAATTTGAAAAGATGATTGACACATTTGAAGGTGATAACTATTATATTGGTGGAAAGGATGACCTTGATTTTGTAAGCAATGTGAAAAAGAAAACAAAAAGAGCTAAGGATAACTGTGAAGAAGAAGATTCAGAGGGTAGCGATGATGAATTTGCTAACTTGGATGATGAAGAAGTTTCTTTAGAAAGTATGGACGAAGAATTTGCTGAACTTGATGAAGATGGAGGAACACTCATGGATGTATCAGATGATGAAAGTGAAGGCATTCCAGAACTTGATGAAGTCAACTCCAAAGACAGTGCTAAGAGAAATAAAAGAAGAGGTACTGGCGATTTTGACCTATGTCAAAGAAGATGTGTTTTTTCTTATAAAATGGAGTACTACTCAGCCATAAAAATGAGAAACAAGAGACATTTATAGCTTAATGGATGCATATTGTGGCCATACTCTTAAGTGAAATAAATAGGGTACATACGTGTAAATACTCAATACTTTCTCTAGTGTGAGAAACTGAAAGTATAAATAAGGATTAAAATGATTAAAAAGAATAACTGATAATTTGAAATAGGTAAAGTTCCAAAGGTGTAGGAGTGGTGGGAGGGGAAGGGGAAAGTGAAAAAGGAAAAGGAAAAATTTTGAGCAAAGAAAAAAAAAATGGAAACAAAATCTATGTTAATGGGGAAGGGTGGAGGGAGTGAAGGGCGCACAGGTAATGGGGAAAAAAATAAGAACTAATATACATCATGTACAGGTACAAGCATCCAATGATAAATGTAAACATATTGTATACGTAAAATGTACCAACAGAAGAATGAAAAAAATAAAAAGGTATAGTTTTTGATTTTTGTTTAAAAATCTATTTTAGAATGCTAAATAATTCAAAGACTAAACTGGGGTGGGAATATCAGCATCTTTTAGAAACAACTTTCCATGTTCCCAAGTACTTAGGTTTTGTTTTTTTTTGTTTTTTTGCAGTACCAGGGATCAAACCCAGGACCTTGCCCTTGCAAGGCAGGGATGGTGCCACTGAGCTAAATCCCCAGCCCCCCTAATACTTAGGTTTTATATTTAAGGCCAGATACATCATTTTCTTTATATACATTTCACACATTTCTTGTGAGTTGTATTCTTTTTAGTTTCCATCTTTCTGTTGTTGTTATAGGAACCCTTTTCATCCAAGGATATTTTCTAATTTGTTACTATAATGGACAGGAATAAATTTTGGCCTCAGGTTATCTACAAACTACTCAGGGCTGAGGCAGGAGGATCGCTGTGAGTTCGAGGCCAGCCTGAACTACAAGGCAAGACCCTCTCTCAAAACAAAAACAAAACAAAAAACTACTCAGAAAAAGGTTTCTATGGTTATATAAGTATGGGCTAAACTGAGCTACGTGGGTTTCTTCATTGCAGGACTTTTTTCTTGGAGACAGGGTCTCATTATGTAATTCAGCTGGCCTTGAGCTCACTATGTAGCCCAGGATTGAACTCACAGCCATCCTCCTGGCTCAGCCTCGAGTGCTGGGATTACAGGCATGCGCCACCACATCCAGCTTTTTTTTGGACCTCAGGATCAAACCTAGAGGGCACCAAGTTACATCCCTAGCCACCTCCCCCCCTTTTTATTGTGAGACCGGATCTTGCTAAATTTGCCCAGTCTGGCCTCAAACTTGGGATCCTCCTGCATCAACCTCCCAGGTAGCTGGGATTACAGGTTTGTGCACCATACATGGTTTGATCTCTTTAATAAAATTCTCCAAGAAGAGGATGGGGAGCTTTCTACTTACTTGGCCGCGAAGTCCTTTGTCACGAGAGATCCCAAACACCTTGGGAAACAATACATCTAAGGACCCGTCAGTCTGGGGGTCTCCACAGAACCTCTTCTCTTGTCTGGGTCCATCCACTCACCCTCAGCCAGACATAGAAGGTAGCCCAGGGTCAAAGCAGATGCTTTAGTGAGTGTCCAAAGAGAACCCTGTCTCTCAGTCTCTCAGCTGCTGCCAGCCTCTACTGTCCCCAGCTCTCAATTTTGTGTCAGGTGAACTAGTTGCCTAAGGGGCAGGGATCTGGAGTCTAAAGAGCTGGAGGGGCACAAAGCAGTTCAAGAGGTCCCCATGGGGGCAGGTCCCTCCAAGAAGGACTGTGGTGAAGGGAACTGGGCCTAAGGACGGCCCCTCTTCAGGCATTCCTAGCAAAGCCAGGAGCTGCTCCAGTGGTATGGGGGTCCCTACCGGCACAGGGTGAGTATGTTCATGCTTGGGGAGGTCACTGGCACTTAGGAAAGCCTTGGGGCAGTGGGAACAGGCTTGGGGGTGCACTGAGCTGTGAGTGCGGCTGTGCTTGCACAGACCCACTCTATCTGAGAAACTCCTGCCACACTGTGAACAGGGAAAGGGCCACAGCTCAGGGTATGACCACTCATGCCAACGATGCAGCAAGGTCAGCGTGGGGAAGGTCTCTGCACTCGTGACAAGTAAACTGTGGTGGCTTCTAATTGGCCTCCTCAACCCCTGCCAATCCTAAGGGGCCCAGAGCCTCCCCAAAGCCTGGACCCTGGCACTCCACGTGCTCCACTGTCATGCCCATCACTTGCCACTGTATGGCCATTACCGTGCTGGACTCAGAGGGCAGCCCTAGCAGCCCCGTGGAGGTTCCCCCGTCCTGTGGCTGCACCAGGGGTGGCGGGGCCCTCGCCTGTCACACCAACCGGCAGTGCCAACCAGACCACCAGCTCTGGCAGGGCGGCCTCACTGCTGCGGTGGGTCCCCTCGTGCTTCCGGAGGCTGGGGGACACCAGGAAGGACTCCCAAGTGCACGCGGCTGTGTTTGGTCAGGCTGGCCCGCTAGGTGAAGGCGCGCCCGCACTCGAACTCCTCGCAGCAGGAAAGGCCACTGGCCCCAGTGCACCAGCTCAGGCAACTCAAGGTCCCAGGATGCCAGGAACCTCTTGTAGCACTGCAGGCACTTGAAGGGCCGGTCGCAGGTGAGCACGCGTCAGTGCATGGCCAGGTCAGCCGGATGCGGGAAGTCCTTGCCGCACTTGTCACAGCAGTACTGCTTCAGGGCCTGTGCACGTGATGCTGGCGCACGAAGCTGGACAGGTCGGGGAACCTGCGGCCGCAGCGCCAGCACAGGAAGGGCTTCTCCCCGGAGTGCGTGCGTGAACTCCCGGCTCTGGTAGGAGCTGAGCTGTGGGAAGCCTTTGCTGCAGGCCAGGCAGCGGGAGGGCTTTCTGCGCCATGAGGATGCGAGGTTGGCGGGTGAGAGACCATGAGCGGGAGAAGCTGTTCCCGCACTGGAGCAGAGGAAGGGGCGCTCCCCAGTGCGGGACAGCTCCTGGTTCCACAGCTCCTTGAACAGCTCCTCCATATAGGCCTTGTCTTGCCTTGTCTCAGAGCTCACAGCCCTAGGGCCGCAGGCCACCACCGAGGGATCTGCGAAGCTCTTGGGGCAGTCAGTGCAGGCCTAGGGCCGCTTACCCCGTGTGGCCACGCTGGTGGATCTTGAGCTTGGAGAGCGCGCCATAGGCCTCGGGACAGTGTACGCACCAGAAAGGCAGCTCACCCGCCTGCGAGGCCAAGTGCACGCGCAAGCACAAGGGCCGCGTGCGTGAAGCGGTGATCACACTCCGGACACGGGAAGGGCTTCTCGCCCGTGTGGCTGCGCCGTGGCTGCAGAGCTCAAGTGCCCTCTTGTAGGCCTTGGGGCACAGTGGGCACACACACGTAGGGCCGAGGCTTTGCTGCTGAGCCTGACCCTTTGTCTCCACTGGCTTTTTCTCCCTTGGCTTCAGTGCCCTGCTTTGGCTTCACGTCTGCCACCTCCTCTGCTCGGGTCTGCAGGCACATACGTGGCAGCATGGCGCGCGGTCCTGGGAGCGTTGGGAAATGTCTTGGAACAGAACAGGGACTTATAGCTGTGGCCACAGCACTTGTACCCGGGGGCTTGGGACCTGGCCTCCATGGCCTCCACCTCCATGGCCTTGGTGGGTGGGGCTTCTCCTTCAGGTCAGCATCTTGAGAAAAGTTCTTTTCATACACAGAACTGAGGTGCAGAGCAACAGCACAGCACTGTGGTTAAGTGCACAGCCTTTGAAGCCAGAATGCCCAAGTTCAAATCTTGCCTCCATCACTTTCCAGTTGATGTAACCTTGTGCAATGTATTGCGTATTTTAGGACCTCTGTTTTCTCATCTCACTCGACTGGGGCCGACTCCGCCCCACAGGGATTAGTTCCTCACACCAACAGAAGCCTGGATTCTGTCTGGGAAGGGCTGGCACTGGGGCCCAGCAGGGCAGGGGCAGGGGCGGAGCCAGCGGGCCAGGAAGCCCAAGACATAGACTGTTAAAAGCATCTCCCACTCTGACACCCAGGGAATAGGTCAGGTGTACTTGCACGCAGAGGAATCTAACGGCCATCAGGTCAAGACGCCGAAATGTGCCCGCACCTGGCATGAGAACAGGGCAGGCATTAGTCTGATTCCTCAATCACCCTGACATGCAGTGAGTTGGCCCACAACATCCATGTGTATCTGAACCCAGTGGCCAGACAGACAGCAGGCCCGCCACCCCTGTACCCATGAATGAACTTGTTGCACACCTAGCTGTCCGGTGGCAACCACATGTACCTGATCCTTCTCCAATAGCCACAAAGGCAAGGATCCTGCTCATTCTCCCCTTGACACTGGGAGCCCACTACGCAGCTGGCTGGCCCACTGCAGTTGTGCATACCCAAGCTCAGCAGGACAGAGAGCTAGACAGTCCCCCTACCCACTGGGGAATCTACCACACAGCTGCCGGACCACATCACCTGCAGGCATCAATGCTCAACCTAACAGCCAGCTAGGAAGTGGCCTTGTTTCCAACTAAAACGATGTCATAGCACAGTCACAAACATGCACAGAACAGACCACCGAAACAACCACAAATATCACTGACAAAGATTAGAGGCTAAAGAAACCGCCAATACTCCAGTGCTTTTCCCATCTAGAAGGAAATCTAACAAACCATACACAATAGACCCACCCTAGCACCCATTCATCTGTAAAATACCTCCCCCTAGGAAAATACACCCCAAAAGGTGATTGTTGCAAGAGCTTGGGAATAGGAGCACAAGAAACATGAAAAAGTAAGGAAATTTGAGTTTCACCAGAAAACAGTAATTCCCCAGCAACAGACCCCAAAGGAACAGAAATGTATAAAATGTCCCCAAAAGAATTCAGAACACATCTTAAAGAAGATCACTGAGTTACAAAAGCAGATAGACAAGCAATTCATTGAAATCAGGAAAATAATGTGAATGAGAAGATCAATGAAGAGATAGATCTCATAATTTGAAAGTAAAAACAGAAATTTTGTCACCAGAGAATTCAAAGGGGAAAAGAAAAAATACAATTGAAAGCCACATCAGTAGACATGGTCAAGGAGAAAAAGAATCCTGAATTTCAAGATTGATCTTTAAATGAATTCAGTCAGAATAAAAGAAAAGAACAAAAAGAATGAAGAAAATCTATGGTACCCATTTCCATTCAAAAACATATTCCAAGTATGAGAGTTATGGAGAGGAAGAAAGGCACAGAGATATGTTTAAGAAAATAATAGCTGCAAACTCCCCAAGTCTTGGAGAGATAGGGATGTCAGATACACGAAACTCAAGGAATTCCAATGAGACTGAAGCCGGTGGGCCTCTCCAACACAAAAATTTTAAAAAGCCAAAGTGAGCACTTGGCTACTGGATTCAATTGACAGCACAGGGAGGGGGCGGGCGGGGGGTAAGAAATGTACAGAGAAAAGTTTAAAAGCTAATGTACAGAGAAAAGTTTAAAAGCAACAAGGTAAAACCACAAGTGCCATATACGAGGATTCCCATTATTTAATAGCAGATTTCTCAACAGAAACCCTGCAGGTCAGAAGACAATGGGATGATATACTCCAACTGGTAAAAGAAAAAGAAAATGTTACCTAAAGTAGCCCTCCAGAAATGTCAGAAAAATAAAATATTTCTCAATAAGGAAGAGCTGAAGAAATGCATGGTGAGTAGGGTGACCATAAAAGAAACAGTTAAGGGACTCCTACATCTGGAAGGAAATGCATGAAGACTGCCACTAGGAAAACAGAGGAAAGTATGGGGTAGCCACATAGAGGAGACACTCAAATGAGAACAATAATTAAATGAAAAGCACCTCACAAAAATTCAC